TTATTTGTTTCAATGTTGACTAACTAAAGTAAGCAACGACGACTCAAGCCTTGTTATAAAATGACATGGTTACTTGTCTTGGTAGACAATATCCAAAAACAAGAACAAGTGGAAGATTAAAAAAAAAAAAATAATATGGATCTGTTCTTGATTATAGCCGCTGTGGTAGCCGCCGCAGCCTTCTTCCTCCTCCGAAGTAGCACCAAGAAATCTCCTAGGCTACCACCGGGGCCAAAAGGTCTTCCTATCATTGGGAACCTCCACCAGATGGAGAAATTCAACCCACAACACTACCTTTTCCGTCTCTCCGAGACTTACGGTCCAATATTCACCATGAAATTAGGAACCCGTAACCTCGTGGTGATCTCCTCTGCTGAAATAGCCAAGCAGCTACTCAAGACACAAGACCTCAATTTCACCAATCGTCCTCTACTTAAAGGGCAACAAACCATGTCGTATCAAGGCCGTGACCTTGGTTTCGGACAGTACACAGCGTACTACCGTGAGATGAGGAAGATGTGTATGGTAAACCTCTTCAGCCCAAACAGAGTCGCCAGTTTCCGACCCGTAAGAGAAGAAGAGTGCCAACGGATGATGGACAAGATCTACAAAGCCGCCGACCAGTCAGGAACCGTTGATCTCAGCGAGCTTCTCTTGTCTTTCACCAACTGTGTCGTCTGCAGGCAAGCCTTTGGGAAGCTGTACAACGAGTACGGAACCGAAATGAGGAGATTCATTAGCATCTTGTACGAGACTCAAGCACTTTTGGGGACTCTGTTTTTCTCCGACATTTTCCCTTATTTCGGATTCCTCGATACCCTCACTGGTCTCACTGCTCGTCTCAAGAGAGCTTTCAAGGAGCTTGACACTTACCTTCAAGAACTCCTCGATGAGACTCTTGACCCTAACCGCCCTAAACCCGAGACAGAGAGTTTCATTGACCTCTTGATGCAGATCTACAAAGACCAACCTTTCTCTGTCAAATTCACTCACGAAAATGTCAAGTCCATGATATTGGTTCGTAACTCACTCACTCACCTTTTTTTATTCGTTTAGCATTTCTTGTTTTTGAGGCAATTAATTTTAATTTTAACTCACACTTTTGATTTCATCATCAGGATATTGTAGTGCCAGGAACAGACACAGCGGCTGCGGTGGTGGTATGGGCCATGACTTACCTAATAAAGTACCCTGAAGCAATGAAGAAAGCTCAAGAGGAAGTGAGGAAAGTTGTAGGCGACAAAGGATATGTGTCGGAAGAAGACATACCTAATCTCCCTTACCTGAAGGCCGTCATCAAGGAGTCTCTTCGGCTCGAACCAGTCATCCCCATTCTTCTACACAGAGAAACCATCGCAGACGCAAAGATCGGAGGCTATGACATTCCGGCTAAGACCATCGTTCAAGTGAACGCATGGGCAGTTTCTCGTGACACAGCCGCATGGGGAGACAACCCTAATGAGTTCATTCCAGAGAGGTTCATGAACGAGAGCAAAGGAGTTGACTTCAAGGGGCAAGATTTTGAGCTCTTGCCTTTCGGATCAGGTCGTCGAATGTGCCCTGCCATGCATCTTGGAATCGCAATGGTCGAGATACCTTTCGCTAACCTTCTTTACAGATTCGACTGGAGTTTGCCTAAAGGAATTAAACCAGAAGATATAAAGATGGACGTCATGACCGGACTCGCTATGCACAAAAAAGAACACCTCGTTCTTGCACCAAGGACCCACATTTGATCTTATATATTAGGAGAATTCTGCTACTAGAATTGGCGATCAATTTGTCTTGTTGAGTGTAGGACTAAATTTCGTTTTAATGAGTCATGACTGTTTTTGGCGTTGTTATCGTTTCTTTACCAATAATAAATGTATTATTTTTTTCCATCTCAAATAAAAAAAAAAAAAAGAAGAGAAGGACCACCATGGCCTAAGCCGACGGACTACGAAGTCTTCAGATTCTAACCCTGCGAAAGGGAGACATGTATATTGCCAAAATAAAACACAACCAAGGTTTAAAACTATGGAGGTATTAATTTGAGCTTTCCATTTTATTTGTGGGGGTGTTTCTTCTATTGTCATGTGATAGATATGCTACCAAGGGACGCTCATATATTGAAATGTTTATTTATTTGATCATTTGCTCCTCTTGGAAGAATGAACAAATATTGTCTCAAAACAGAAATTTGAAATGACCACAAAAATTCTGTGTAAATCTCTTGTGAGTTCAAAAATGCAATCATAGGATTGGACTGGTGGTGAATTTTCATAACTAGACTGGCATGTAAAATTTGGCTTCAATAATACTGTCCAGATAGTTTTTGAATTGTCTTGGTGAAAATCCACAAACCAGTTACAAACACGAGCAAGCTACTGATACATCTACTGTTACATTTATGAATATTTACCAACATGCCACACAATTATCACAACGGCTATCATAAAGTTCCAAGTAAACAACATACTTGAAAATCATTTGCTTCCACTAACCCTTTCCAATGAATCTCCAGGGAAAAGCAAATTGTATCGAGTTGATCTGCATCAGGAGAGCCACTCATCATCTCAATACTTGCCTTTCTGCACAACATTTAAATGAAACAAAGCACCAAAATATGTCATTCTTGAGCGATAAACTCAAACAAAGTCTATTTGATAGTGCTTTGCTCTGTTTCATCCCATATAATCCGGTATAGAACATTAAGAGGAAAGCCATTTTGTTCCTAAAAATGTGATTGTGCACCTACCTAAGAGAAAAGCCCTTTTGTTCCTAATATATGTCATTCTTGAGCAGTAAACCGACACAAAGTCTATTTGATTGTGCTTTGCTCTGTTTCAGCCCATATAATCCGGTGTAGAACATTAAGAGAAAAGCCCCTTGTTCCTAAAACTGTGATTGTGCACCTACCTATTCAAACTTGAGGAAATTTAGTACCTTCACCAAAGGGCTGTTCCAAACGAGTAACAATATGTTTCCCATATGTGTATTTCTTCAACGCAGATGCATGCATTCTGACTCGGCTGCACAATGTCGCACGCTGATCAACCGTACATGTCTCAAATATCTTCTGCACCACATAGTTTCCATACTGATCCTTCATCATCGTCTGTTAAACGAGAGCCACAGTTAATATACAATCATTTAAGTAAGAAGAAAATGTACCAGATTTGGTCCATAAGCTTACCAATAGACTATCATAGCTCTCGTTGACCCCTGCAATCTCTTTGATGATGAGGTCCCGCTCAATTCGACCACCATACTCCAGACACTTCTCTATAACATTTGATGCAAATTTATGTAGGCTAAGCTGCACGATGTGCCCTGATAGTTTCCTCACGATTCTCTCTCTTTCTTCAGATGTCCCTTTCTCCAAGACATGCTGCCAGACAGCAACATTGGTTTAAGTGGTGATCAGATGAAACTTGAACTGTGGTATTTTGGTTTGAATTTAATTCAGCTGTAATTGATTTGTAAGTTTAAAATGGTATAGACCTGAGTAACATAATTGCCATATTGGTCCTTGGAAAGGAGGCATACTGATTCCAGTATCTCGTCAGTAATGAACCGACACTGATACTCAGTTGAGCAACGCTCCAAAAGCCTCTATACACAAGAAAGAAACGAATTGCTCTTGAGTACAATGAGAGAAGCCAAGAAAACAAGAAGCCAAAGAAATACGTAAAAATAAGGTCTTTAATACCTGTATAACACGGCAGCCATAAGGATGCATAGAGAGTGAGGAAACTTGACGACGGAATGCAGATAACATGAACCCAATTCTGTCTACCGGGATATTCTCGATACATTTCTGGATCACATGGTTTCCATTTTGGTCTCGAACACATCTTATGACCTGCCCATCAAGTTCACGTGCTAAACGAACTCTTTGATCAGGTTCTATGACATCAAGAGCCTGACACCACAACAAAGTTTTCACCCATGAGTCTGTGGTTTTAACAGTCCAAAATCAGACCAAATCTACTGACTTTTGTACCTTTTGTATCACGCGACAACCATACATCTGCAGACTAAGTGGTACTATTTGTCCCATGAGTTGATCCGCTAGTTCCTTTCTCTGTGTTGAGTTTCCATATTCGAAAAACTGACACAGATATTACAAATAATCAATGAAAAAGATAAAGAGTCTGATGGGCAATGCACTGAAGACATAGGGTCTAGTAGGAACGAACCTTCTGAATGACATAATTGCCAAACACATCAGTCATTAGTGTGCACGCATGGGGAAGGACTTCCCTAAATACAGCTGCTTTTTCTTCTGGATTACAATTCTCAATCTTTTGCTGAATGAATCGGCTCCCGTGTTGATCCGCACTGAAGGAAACACAGATTTGACTTAACTATGTAATTATATGCTTGGGAGGAAATCCAAGACAAGACTCATGAAAGACAGATAAAAACTTGCCTGAATTCAACAATGTGTCCTGTGATGTCGGATAAATCAAACCTCCTGCCTTTCCCAGATTTCAACTCTTCAAGAAAATTGCACAATCGCGGAACATTGGCACCTTCCAAGCTTCCCTGTTGCTGCCATCCAGGATATCTCTCTACATAGGGAACAGAGCCTGGTGAAAGAGGAGCACTGAGATGTGTAGGCAGATACTGCACCATAATGCCCATATATGGCTGGATTCCATAATAATTAAGACCCATCATTCTACCCATATTAGAGTTACTCGGCCCCCTTACTTGTCGCAAGAACTTCGTCTCATCTTTCTGAGACTCGGGAGCATTCCTGTGGTTCCTAGGAGCCATCTGGTCTACCTGCCCGAATAACTGTTGACAGTACTGCATATACATAGGATCTGGAAAAGAAGGTTGTCCCGGTGGAACATAGAACTTCTCGGCACTCTGCATTTCACCTCCGTGAACTACACTTCCCACACTTGGGCTAGATAATTGAGGAATAAAGTTTGGACCGGCCATAAGCGGAACAGAACCAGGAGAAGGGTATCCATGTATAAACTGAGGGGTCATGTTAGTGTATGATCCATAACCATATTGAGGAGAGTAAACAGCAGGAGACTGCATGTTATAGACATGAGCTGGTGAAGTCACATAAGCCGTTTGCGTAGCAGCGTAAAGCGGAGGTGACGTAAAACCTGAAGACTGAAGCACAGGCTGACCATCACCCAAGAACTTGTAAGGTTGTCCATAATGATATTGTCCAGTCCCAGTAACTGCATCGTTTACACCATGAGAACCCATTTTGCTGCCACCTTGGACCCAGGTTACATTGTTTTGTTGTTGATGCAGCTGCCTTTCTGGCCTTGCATACCTCGGTTCTCGGGGGTAGTTAACCATTTCAGGTCCAGATATGTTAGTAATCTTCATTTTAGAGATGATAGTCGATTCATCGGAACTCTTCTCAATGCCAATGGAAGCTTCCGTCATTGGAGCAGCATTATCTTTAACTATGACATCATCTGATATCTCCGAGAAGTTACCACGCTCATCCGCAATGTTCATCTCACCATTTAAAGAGTTAGACCGACTATGTTGAGGGGTCGGCCCAGAAGAACTATCATCCTGTGACAAGAAGATATTCAATTGTAACTTATTATAGGACTCGAAGTATCGAAAACCTTGAAATTTACATGAAATTCTAGAAAAAGAATGACATTTCTCACTGCCCACACCCAGAATACTAATGGAAGGGAAAGAAAGCGAAGCCGAACCTGACTGACATCTGCCAAACCATGAGAAACAGGCGAAAGACCATTGTCCAGCCCATTTGTCCTATCTGAAATACTGTTAGCAGACTGCTGTTGAGAGCTTTCATCCTCAGACACTTCCTTATGAGTAGAAAGTGTACCTTGGGGCAAATGAATTGGGGAATTAACTTTATTCAATCCCTGATTACTTCTAAATCTACCAACACGGTTGTCGATGAACTGATACTCAGTAGGGTAATAAATCGGTGGAGAAGGTATGCGGTTAAGGTTGTATTTAGTCGAATAAAAAGGATGAGCAGTCACAGGCTCCTCAAACCCGTTGTTTTGAAAACCTGGTAGCTTCAAGTTGTTGTTATGACCAGAGCCTTCTAGATTATCTACAGCTAGAAAAGATCCCTCAATGCTTGGTGGCGCACTTCCACTTCGATCAGGAACAGAAAGCGGCCTAGAATTAGACCATCTTTCATTGCTCCCAGACATCTTAATAGGATTCTCAGTTGCCATTGCCTCAATGATAATGCTTTTCTTAATTCCTGAAAAAATAAGTGATACCAATATTATCACAAATCAGGAGATGCAAGCTCTCTTTAAACAAACTTATCACCAATGAAATCAAAAATTATGGATAAAAAAGTGCAATTTCAACACAGGAATTGATCTACGTGATAATTAAATAAGCTTGTTTTCGATAGAAAGAGCAAATTGACTAGTAAAAGTGTAGAACTCAAAAGTAAAGAAGAAAGAACAATCAAGAGCAAAACCTTAAAGACTATGACATATCTACACGAAGATATACATCACCATGTAAAATAGTCTTCCCATTAGAGAAACCCAAACGAGAGGCAGAGAGAAGAAACAGAGTGTAAGTAGGACGGGTAAGGAAAAGAAAAAAAAATCTAGATTTCTTCCTTATCCCAATTAAAAAAGAACCATAGAAATGAGCTATTTGCTT